ACACATCTATATACACACTTAAATTTATCCACATCCAATTGACTGAAATTTCCAGTCACACTTATGGTGTGTGCATTCATGTGAATCTGTAGTTGTGACTTGTGTAGGTGTTTGTTGAAGTAGTATATGTACTTCTGCCTTTGGTCGCAGCGGCATACACTTGTTTAGTATGAAATTGAGTTTCGTGTGCGATGTCGCAACACATGGACTTGTGTGTTCAATAAGTATTAATATGAATTTTTCAGGTCTCACTGGTCCTTGACAGTGAGAAGCTATAATGCTGTGCGTGGTTAGTCGGTCCATCGTTGTGCGCGTGCGAATCAACTTCAAGTTCAAATGTGCGTTCGTTTGACATTTGAATCGACGTGTGCGTGGGAATGGATTGCACGGGTCTGGAATAGGAAGCGCGAGAGTGGTCGTTCATCACAGACGATTGGCATTTTCGCTACTATAGGATTAGTAGAAAAGCATGTTCTCGAAGTTGGTGGTGCTAAGAACTTGTTGCACCACAAAGTGAGTCGTAGATTGCAGCATTGCAATATATTCGCACACATACATTTGTGCGGTTTCCCGAACGAGTATTGCCAGCCGGCATGCGTTTTGTGGTACAGGGCCCGTACAAGCTAAACTACCTGGCATATCACACCACTAAAAGTATTCGAAAAAGTACCTTCCAGCCACATTACGACGCACAAGTCACCCAGCTCGAGAAATACAATCGATCTGTGACTCTATTAGGATATAGTTTCAGACAATCTCTCCTGAATATCTGACTCTGCTTAACTCAGGTAGAACGACCACCAAGGTTTATGATGTATACTTCTTCTAACGTTCCCTGTCGGTGAATCTCACACAGCGCAGAAAGGCGAAGCACGGTGTAGCGACATCAGGCAGGCGAGACTCTACTACATCTGCGTGAACTTCATGAAACGCACTGAGGGCAGAGGCTCTGAGAACGCCATGAAAGCGCTTTTGGCGAATGCACACCGGTACAACCACTGCATAGATCTACCTACTGTCCTGACGGTCACAAAGGTCATGTACCGAGATGGCTGGCATAGGGAAGTCATTGATATCGCGATGAAACTGCAGAGCGACCCATCGCTTACGGAGACTGTGAATGGTCTTAAGACGGTGGCCCGGGTGAGTACATACGGTGTGCTGTCTATGCTGCACATGGGCGACTTTGACAGGTGAGTAGAATGGGTGATATATTGGTGTGCTTTTTATAAATGCACTGTACATTTCTACGTAGTTTACGCAAGATTAAGTTTTCTGCTGAGTCTTGACTTCGGCTGCGTGCTATCGAATAGAAGGCACAGACGAGAACATATTGCGAACCCCTTTATCAATGCAGCTTGACCGGCCGTGACTGCAGAATCATCAAGTGCTGTGTATGGCGAAATCGAAGCATAGCTGTTTACTTTCGCTACATCATAATTACTGAAACCCCACATCGCATGTCTTGCTACGCGTGTTTGCCTCAGACGACCATGGATCCGCTGGATTTCTCCAAAGTATATCGTATCCTCTGCGTTTATGTTTTCTCTTTGGCTGAGGGTTTGAGTGCTACTACTGGTGGTGGTCGACATACTTGTCTCTGTACTCTGACTGACCCCCAACTCTTCAACATCGATCCTGGCCATTTCGTCGCGCCGTTCCGTTCCCCTTCCCGTAAACGTTTGCTTGTGATAGTATCTCTAATATTCCACCATAATACGTTATGGTAACTTCGTCCTGGATCGTTTCCCTACAGGGCGTGTGAGACGTTTATCCGTCAGTGGCGATACACTGTACTCCCTCAGAACGTTTACCTCGTAGTAGACCACAGTCTCAGGCCAAACCCCAACCCCAACATCGCCTACAACCCAGCGAGAATGGCCGACAGGCAGCTCAAAGCGGCAAATGAGCGCACCAGGCTACTACCACCAGATGCGGCGGATACTACGCGCATTGAATTAGATACGTTATCAGTTGAAACAGGTTTGAGTGAGAAGATAAAGCAGGCTAGTGCAGACGATGAGACGATGAGTGTGACTCTGGAGGTGTACTGTGCCGCTGAGTTGTTACATCGGATTGCCCAGCATAGAGGCCTGCCCTACAGGTGTGTCGCGATGTGGTTTCCCATAGACATGCGTAGGCGTTAATTTGTGTTTGTATTGGTAGTGACACGGAAGGCATTAATTCTGTGGAAATACAGTACTGTAGTGATGTGTACTATACGGAACCAACGTGCGCGATTGTGGGGCGTCGTCTTTTGTCTGTAACTGCTGAGTACCTAGGGCTAGTTCAGTCACATCTCTGTATCACACTAGTTATTCTTTCCCAATTCGCCTTCCAAAAAAGCTTTGAGTAGCTTGATTTTATGCTCACAACGGATGTAATAAATTTACTCTATCCCTCCCTTATCCATCAGAGATCATATAAGACAATGTACCAGTTCCAGCCGAGTCGGTATAGACTTCAATATCATAAATATTAAACCACATATCTGTCAATTTAGTATGCACATGCCCTTAAATACACCAATGTCACTGCCCATTTAAGAGCTTTATAATTCAACTCATTCTGAACCCACATCTATTGTTATTGTCGCAACATATCTGCAGATACGCAGAGGATATCTGGTCCATACTCCACAACCAGTCTCCCGCCACTCCTACGCGAGTTAGTGAACATCTGACTCTTCCAGCTCCAGTACATACACTCTTTGACGATATTAGTAGTCAACCAGAAGCAGCCCATACATACATACCTCCAGCCATATACACACACATGCTGGTTGTGTTGGCCTCTAAGCCAATGTGTGATAGTGAAATACCGAAGAGGAGAGCGATGTTTATACGACACCTAGCAGAGATGGACGTGGCGCACCCTCATCCGCAAATACAGTTCCCAAAGTACTACTACGTACTGCAGGCCGTGATCGAGTCGAGTACCCATATGGGACTGTTGCTGGTGATGCATATGCGTAAGAGGGGCCTTGAAGTGCCTAGGGCTGCCTATACGGGTCTGCTGAGGCATAATAAGTCTACGGCCGATAACAGGTTTGTTCGCGGTTCGGGTGAGATTGCGATGTTGTGATGCATCAGTGCGTGTGCGGTTCAAATGTCTAGGATGTAGCTACATGAGGCTATTTTAGACAGTATAGCCGCAAGTGTGTAACGTTGTACGTGTATATACAAATGCTCATGAAGTTGTATATATAAATGCATGTGATGAAACAATACCACAGGGGGTGTTTATTTCGCTCGCAGAAAGTCAAGGCTCGTATCACCTACTGTCGCTGAGTTTGCTTGTATGAATGTATTGCCCATGTCTTTCCCAGTCAATCTAGCATGATAAACACGTGAATGCATGTCGAAAATGTGGCTCTGATATAATATTTGTAGACGGTCATTTAGACGCATCCAAAAGTTGACACAAAATTATATTCAGTGCAATAAGTGTTATTCTCCCTCGGTGACATTCTAGCAACCTACATTGCGTACAAGCTGAGAGCACTACGAACTGACCCACTACTTTTATAAACGCAGTGTGAAACATACTAAGCGACTGATGTCTCAAATCATCAATCTGTGCATTGCGGACGACGTCGAGTTGCGGCAACACGAATTATCGGACTATATTCGAGGAATGAATTTGCAACCGATCCAATACAGCCGGGCCTGGGAACTATACAAGCCCGTTCAAATATTTCAGTACAAGAACAATAAGGTATGTTCCTATTCAGTCATCATGTGTATAGGACTGTGTGAATTTAGATATATATAAATATGTATATATGTCTGTATGTCTGTATGTATATATATATATATAAATATATGTATATATATATATATGTGTGTGTGTGTGTGTGTGTATGTACGTATGCATGTATGTATGAGTGAGAGAGTTGT